GCTGCCGACCGGCCATCAAAGTCTGCTGATCGGCTATCAAAATGGCCGATGATCATTTTTCTTTGGCCGATGGCCACTCCTCTTGGCCGACCACCCCGCAGCATGGTCATCAGAAGCTTCTTGGAAGTTGGCACAATTTTCAGAAGTCCAGAATTATGTAAATAGAGGCAACACGAGGCACGGTAGTGGATTTCCGAGCGAAACCAACCGAGCATGCATGCATCCCTTGTCACGAGGCCATTTCAGTGTTTTTGTTAACTTAAAATAAACTGTTATTTCATTTATGAAAGTGTTGTAATTAATCAGTTAATGCGTTTAATTAATTGATTCATTTTGTAATAATTAGTTAACTAGGAGTAGTTAATTAATTTTTGTTTTGTAATAATTAGTCTAATTAGTTTAATTAGATTAGTTAATTAGCTTAGCTTAGCTAGCTTAGTTTATTATTCGGACCCTCCGTCGAGAGGGCAAATGCTGTAATAAGGGTGCGTACGTGTGTGTGTTCATGTTTTCCAACCCCCATTTCTTTCTCCCTTTTACTTATCAGCTTTTGATAGTTAGTTTAGGGTCATATTTCAATTAGCATCCTTATGCTAAAATGTTTGCATCCATTCATCTGTCTAGCATGCACCAGGCTCGGCGCATCATTCAAACTGCATTGTATTTTAATTCCAATTTGAATACATGTATCAATTGTTGCATTTCATATGCCATCTTAGAATAGTCGAGCCCGTCTAGTTGCATTTTTTTCATGTGTTGCATTAGGCATCTTAACATAGCTAGGGTCATGCATTGATTACTAACTAGCTTCTGTTTTGGCTCGGAGTACACTGTAAGTGTTTATGCTTTAGCATCCTTGCATGTGTGTAAGTGTTGCCATGTTTAGTATGCTTGCCATGAGGCTAACTGCTTAAGTGTTTAACTGCATGAATGCCTATGGATGAAGGTTGGATTGCTTGAATTGGAACAATTCATCGAAATGTGCATTTTAAGCCCACTTGAAAGTGGCAAATCATGTTTTCTAAGCCCACTTAAGGGTGGCAAATCCGCGACTTAGCCTACTTGCGAGTAGCAACTTCAAACCATTTTCAAACAAACAAACATGAGATATTTTGTTCCAACTTGAGTGATTTAGTCTATACTTGTATGCTGTGTGCATCACATAGTAAGCTAGCTAATAAATCAGAATAAGAACACATGTGTTTTCAAAAACCACATATCATGTTAGTAAAGGCCGATCTTTGATCGGGCGTGCGGGGGTGCTCATTGCAAGACCTTCCCCTCTCGTACCCAAGTTCCCGAGTCGAGGCAACTTTGGTGATGACAGACACATGGCCTTAGGCACGAGTCAGGGTTTCCTAAATTTTCCCAAAATAAAATATTTAGGTGGCGACTCTGAAATCTGGCAAAGCAGTCCATGTTTGGCGCTTTTTGACTAAAATCGATTTTCCAAAACGATTTGTCAGATTTGGACTCTTTGGTGATTTATCAGTCTTACGTTGCACTTTGTGAGACTAGATTCAGAACCGTGACATGAATCCAAACTGTAGTAGCTAAGAACAACGATTCGCGCCCTCGCGCGCGGATCGGAGTTCCGGGCGGTCTACAATGATTTTCTTGCCTTTTGTGTCTACGTTTTAGCATGATTAGGTCACTGATTTGGCATGTTTTAGGTATGTCCATAGCTGATTTGGTCATTCGAGCTTTGTATTGCATACCTCTAGTGTTGTGTCCTTTACTAGTTTCAATGCTTTTGACTCTTAACATATTGTGCATGGTTTGTTTGCATGATTTTAAGTCATTTAGTATGTCATTTCAGTGCTGAAATATATGCGATTGCACTCTATTTTTCACTCTTTCATTCACTTTGAAAGAGGTCTTTAGCCCCTTGTTGGCTTGAGCATGGAATTGCGGCTCTCATGCCTAATGGTTTTAGCCTTCTCTTAAGGGTTTTTACCAACCAAAAGCATGAGGCTTCTTTCATGCTCAAGGTGCTTGCGGCTTAGGCCATCTCTCTCATTAGAGGACTTTCACATTGGACTTAACCGGTTAAGGGATTAATTGGTAAGCTAAAATGTGTAAACAAAAATGAACCAAGTAAAACTTATGAAAGATAAGCATTTGTGTTGCATTGTATGTGTTTGGATCGGACGTTAATCCAAACACAAGAAATGTTGGACGTTTTATACTCCAAGTGATGAAACGTGTCACATTTGTTGGTCGTCATCCCTCTTGATCATGCATGATAGGGTAGAGGCTCTTTGAGTCTTATGTGTGTATTCATCAAGCTTGTACAAGCTTGGTTCTTTGGCCACCATGCATTAAAAGTGCTTGGTTGGTGGCTTGAGGGCCAAGTGCTACATTGCTTTGAGCTTGAGACATGATAAGGAGTGTAGCAGTATGCATATTTCCTTGCAAATACACTGCCATGCCTCTGTTTGCTCTCTGTTGCAGCAAAAGGAGGAAGTTCAGGAGATCAGTGGCCGACCGGCCATCAAAGAAGCCGACCGGCCATAAGTAGTGGCTGATGGCCGTCATTTCCAGCTGATTATCCCTCAGTGTGTTCTTGAGATAAAACAGAAGCAATCTAGAGGTTGGCACCATTTTCAGAGGTCCAAAGATGTGCAAACAAAGGCATTTAGAGGCAAGGTAGTGGATTTTCGGGAGGACGCAATCGAGCATGCATGCCTCCCTCGCCCGCGAGGCCATCCTTATCATTTTATTAGCTAGTTGTAGTTAATTACATGTGCTGTAATTAATTTAGCTTAGTTCATTTTATAATATTCTAATTGGCTTAGTATAGCTAGTTATTCAAATCGGTTTGTAATAATTAATTAGCTAAGTTAGTTAATTAGTTGGTTTGTGATAAGTAGCTTAGCTTAGTGTAGCTTAGCTTATTTATTCGGACCCTCCTTCGAGAGGGCACAATGTTGTAATAAGGGTGCGTATGTGTGTGCATGTCTTCCAACCCCACTTCTTTCTCCCTTTTATTTAACCGTTTTTGATGGTTAGATTATGGCATATTTCAATTAGCTTACCTTATGCTTGCATGCATGCATCATTCATTTGTATTGCATGAACCAGGCTCAGCGCATCATTCAAACTGCATTGTATTTCAATACGCTTACTTGAATACGTGTTTCAAAGCATGTATCAATTGTTGCATCCATATGCCATCTTAGATAGCTGAACCTATTTTAGTTACATTTTTGCATGTGTTGTATTAGGCATTGTTAACATAGTTAGGATCATGCATGATTTCTAGCTAGTTCTCTGTTTTGGCTTGGAGTACACTGTAAGTGTTTACGCTTTAGCATACTTGCATGTGTGTGAGTGTTGCCGTGATAGCATGCTTGCTATGAGGCTATTTGCTTATATGCTTAACTGCTTGAATGCCTGTGGGTGGAGGCATGATTGCCTGAATTGGGATAATTCATTAAATGTGAGTTTTAAGCCCACTTGAGGTGGCAAAATCATGTTTTTAAGCCCACTTGAGGGTGACAAATCCGCGCTTTAGCCTACTTGCGAGTAGCACTTCCAAACCATTTTCAAAAACAAACATGAGTTGTTTCGCCCCAATTCTCGTGATTGAGTCTATACTTGTATACTGTTCACATCACGTAGTAAAGTTAGCTAATAACTGGAATAAGAACACATAAGGTTTATAAAATAACATATCATGCTCAGTAGAGGCCGATCCTTTGATCGGGCGAGCGGGGGTGCTTATGTTATGACATTCCCCTCTCGTACCCAAGTTCCCAAGCCAATGCAACTTTGGTCATGACGGACACGTGGCCTTTGGTGCGAGTCAGCGTTTCCTAAATTTCCCAAAACAAAATATTTAAGTGGCGACTCTGTAATCTGGCAAAACAGTTTATGTTTGGCGCTTTTTATTCAAAATCGATTTTCCGAAATGATTTGCCAGATTTGGACTCTTTGGTGATTTATCAGTCTTACATTGCACTTTGTGAGATTAGATTCAGAACCGTAACAGGAGTCCAAACTGTAGTAGCTATGAACCCAAATCTGTGCCCTCTCCGAAAGGGGGGCGCGCGGAGGAGGTTCGGGCGGTCTACACTTACATTGATCCATCCCGAGGTGTTTAAGGTGTTTCCCAGGCCTTCTCGTGACTGTTACATGATTTTGGCCTCCGATGGCCTATTTTCAATCTTAAGTGTGAAAAAGTGCATTTTTGGACTTAGTTTTCAAATCGGGAGTCCCGTGCTAGTTCCGTAAGTTTTCACAACTTAAATTGGTCTCTCCTGAGGTGTTTGAGGTGTTCCCTAAGCCGTCTCATGGCTGTTACATGATTTTGGCCTCCGATGGCCTATTTTCAAGATTAGTGTGAAAAAATGCATTTTTGGTCTTAGTTTTCAAACCGGGAGTCCCATGCTAATTTCGTAAATTTTCACAACTTACATTGGTCCCTCCTGAGGTGTTTAAGATGTTCCCCGGGCTGTCTCGTGGTTGTTGCACGATTTTGGCCTCCGATGGCCTATTTTCAAGCTTAAAAGTGTAAAAAAGTGCCTTTTTCGACTTAGTTTTCAAACCGGAAGTCCCGTGCTAGTTCCGTAAATTTTCACAATTTACGTTGGTCCCTCGTAAGATGTTTGAGGTGTTGCTCGGGCCTTCTCGTGACTATTACACAATTTTGGCCTCCGATGGCCTATTTTCAAGCTTAATTGTGAAAAAGTGCATTTTGGGACTTGGTTTTCAAACCGAGAGTCCCGTGCATTTTTTGACTTAGTTTACATTTGTTTCTTTCAAAGTGTTCATGATGCCTCCCGAGCTTTTTTGAGCTTATTTGAAGCTTCCCTCCCTCTCCAAGACTTATTTTCGTGCCTAAGCATTGGAATAGTTCAAATTTCAAAGTAGTTTTCAAATCGAGAGCCACATGCTTGTTTTGTAAGTTTGCACATCTGTGACTCATAATATGCGAAAAGATAGTATTTCCTTCATCTTCATTTCTTAGAGTTGAAAATAAAAGGGTCATGACATAGTTTGGTCCCAAAACTATGAGAAATAATACTTGTAATTATCAAAGGGACAAATAATATACAAATGTATCATCCAACAGAAGAAATTACCTTTTCTTGGGTAAGTAAGAAATCAGCAACTCTGACAATACAACCTACATAGAAAACCAGGCTGCCATCTGAAGTTGACAATGAAATCAAAATAATGAGAAGAAAGACCTCAGATCAATTCTCATCTGGCAATACGAGGCGATCTTGAACTTCCATTAGCTTTGTAGATCTAATCACATCCCTGGTTTTTATCTTTGGTAGAATTTCTGTCCCAACAGTTGTGTATCTATACATAGCACCAAAAAAATGCAATTAACTTTACCTAAACAAACCAAACCAAATCAAAATTTAAAACGAAATAGATAAAATAATACACAAAAGGGACTCATCAATTTCATGTCACCAACTAATAAAAAATTATAAATAAAATTTGATGGAAATCATAGAATACTTCAATAATTTACTCCATAAATAAACTACTCTCATTCACATGGGAATAGAACTCACAATATCACAGTATTTATGAAGTAACCTATTACAGGTCAATATTCGTTTTTATTATGAAAATATATATATACTGGGCTTGGGCTTTGATATTTATAATAAATTATTTCCTATTTTTTCTATTATAAATTTATATTTTTTTTAGTTAGTCTAAAAGTTGTATAAAGTTGTCCAAAAAATGTCAGTCTAATGTCACATGATTTTTTGATTTTATAAAAATCATAAAATAAGTTGGGTTAGTTCATAATAGCTAAGCTTTGGGCCATAAGTGGATTTGGATAAATTGATTCATCCAACTTATCCACTCTCATTTAGTTCATATAAGAGATATATGTTTTCACTCAATAAAGTGGGTGAAATATGGGTTTCCAGTCTATAGTAGGTCTCGAGTGGTAGATTAATGAGATTTTATGATTTTTTCTGTAAATAGTTCTTTAATTATTTTTGTGTCCCTGTTTTGGTTATTGACATAAATATAAATACTTATGTTAAAGCCTACTATTGTCCATCACTTCACTCCAAACCATCATTTGGTCTCTATGAAATTTAAGATATTGAAGGAATTTTGTGACAAAACTTACCTACCAGTAAGGATATTTAGTCTGGGATTTTTCAATAGAACTAGCCATCTTATGGGGTAAAATAGTTATTATATCATTATAAAGAAATATGGGATTGTTTGAAGTTTCGGATACTGAACCTCAGAGGAGTTTGAAAATGTGAACCTCAGAGGGTTCCTTCCATACTAAATGCATGTGAAAAGATGACTATCCTACTCTCCTGCAAGTTGCTTCAAATCCCTTACAAAACATCACTCTTTCTATCATTGTTTTCTACCCCAAAACCCATAAATGCTTTAGCTTTAAGAAGCTATTTTTCTACTATCCCACAGTTCCATATGAAAGAATTCATTCTCCAATTCCATTACAAAATCCAAAGTTCCAACAAAGAGGGAATATTAGATGGGGAAGCAGTCTTGTAATTAGTTCCAATCTATTTCCTGTGACCATTGATACTCCTTGCAAAAATGCTCTCGAATTGGAATTGACACTACCTTAGACCTGAATGAGCTGCAAGTTGTATTCTTACCTTTGGCAATTCGTCAATAAAAAAAACATAAAGGCAAAGTGTGGGCTCGCCTTTTTCTGCGCCCCCGCCTTTTGGAAAAGAGTTTGAAAAGAAAGGCCCTCACAGTTCGGACTCTACCTGTGGTTCTGAATCTAGTCTCACAAATGCAATATGAAACTGATAAACACCAAAGAGTCCAATCCGGCAAATCATTTTGGAAAATTGATTTTAGATCAAATAATGCCAAAACTGGACCGCTTTGTCAGATTGCAGAGTCGCCACCTAAATATTTTCTTTTTGGGGAAATTTAGGAAACCCTAACTTGTGCCAAAGGCCACGTGTCCGTCATCACCCAAGTTGCCTCGGCTCGGGAACTTAGGTACGAGAGGGGAAGGTCCTGAAATGAGCACCCCCGCTCGCCCGATCAAAGATCGGTCTCTACTAATCATGATATTTGTTTTATAAACCTCATTTGTTCTTATTCCGATTATTAGCTAACTTTACTATGTGACGCACATAAGTATAGACCAAAATTGCAAGAATTGGAACATTTCAACTCATGTTTTCTTTTGAAAATGGTTTGAGTTTGCCACCCTTAAGTTGGCTAAAATGCGGATTTGCCACCAAACATGATGGGCTTAAAACATGATTTGCCACTTCGCAAAGCAGGCTTAAAACTCACATTCGTTGAACTGTTCCAATTCAAGCAACAAAGCCTTCATCCACAGGCATTCATTTAGTTTAGCATTTAAGAAAATAACCTCATGGCAAGCATGCGAAACATGGCAATATGGCAATCACACTCATGCAAGTATGCTGAAGCATAAAACTCACCGAGTACTCTAAGCCAAAACAAAAACTAGTTAGAAACAATTCGTGATCCTAACTATATAAGATGCCTAATGCAACACATGCAATATGAAATTAATAGGCTCGGCTACTAATATGGCATTTGAAACTCTTTGATAGCATGCTTTGAAACACGTATTCAAAGAAGTATTGAATTGACAATGCAGTTTGAATGATGCGCCGACCCTCGGTGCACGCAAGACAAATGAATAGATGCCAACATGCAAGTATAAGGTATGTTAATTGAAAATGTCCCTAATCTAACCATCAAAAGAAATTAAATAAAAGGGAAAAAGAGGTGGGGTTGAAAGACATACACACACGCACACACACTTATTATAACATTATGCCCTCGCGAAGGAGGGTCTAAATGAATAAGCTAAGCTAGCTACACTAATTAAGCTAACTATTACAACACAAAACTAATTAACTATTCTAGCTAATTATTACAGCACAATTGAAATAAATTAACTAACTATTCTAAGCTAGCCAAAATATTACAAAACGAATTAAGCTAATTAATTACAACACTTGTATGAATGAAAATAGCTAACTTAGTCTAAGTTAACAAAAGCGACTAAATGGCCTCGAGGGCAAGGGATGCATGCATGCTCGGTTGACCCACTCAAAAATGCCATTGGCTTGTCATCGGATGCCTTTGTTTGCATTCGTTTGATCTCTGAAAATTGTACCAACTCCCAGAATGCCTCTGCTCTAACTCAGGAGCACATTTGTGCAAAAATTCACTGGTGGCCAATCTGCTACAAAAAGCGGCAGTCGGCTACTACAACTGGCCAGTTGGCCACTCTAAGTGGAGTCGGCCACTAAAACTAGCCAGTAGGCCACCCCTTCCATAGACTTTTCCTTTTGCTGCAACAGAGAGCAAACAGAGGCAAAACAATATATTTTCAAGGAATGTATGTGCGGCTACCCTCATTATCATCGCACAAACTCAAAGGAGGGTGACTCTTGGCCTTCCAACCATCAATCAAGCATTTGCAATGCATGATGGCTAGAGAGCCAAGTTTGTACAAGCTTAATAAGTGCACAAACAAGACCAAAATAACCACCACCCTATCATGCATGATCAAGGGTAACGGTGACCAAGAAAAGTGGCACGATTCATCACTTTGAGTATGAAACATCCCATTTTTCTTGTGTTCGGATTAACGTCCGATCCGAATACATGCAAAGTAATACAAAGATGCTTAATCTTGCCTCTTTTACTTTGTTCATTTTGTTTACTCATTTTAGATTACCAATCCATTCTTTAATTGATTAGTCCAAAAATAAGTGTCCTCTAATTGAAAGTAGGCTTAAATCACAAGTGCCTTGAGAATGAAAGAGTCCCCATGCCATTGGTTAGTACAAACAGCACATTAACTATTTAAGTACAGAACCCAACGAATTGACTAGCTAAGTAAAGCAGTTAAAAGGCCTCGAGGACGAGGGATGCATGCATGCTCGGTTGACCCACTCAAAAATGCCATTGGCTTGTCATCGGATGCCTTTGTTTGCATTCGTTTGATCTCTGAAAATTGTACCAACTCCCAGAATGCCTCTGCTCTAACTCAGGAGCACATTTGTGCAAAAATTCGCTGGTGGCCAATCTGCTACAAAAAGCGGCAGTCGGCTACTACAACTGGCCAGTTGGCCACTCTAAGTGGAGTCGGCCACTAAAACTAGCCGGTAGGCCACCCCTTCCATAGACTTTTCCTTTTGCTGCAACAGAGAGCAAACAGAGGCAAAACAATATATTTTCAAGGAATGTATGTGCGGCTACCCTCATTATCATCGCACAAACTCAAAAGAGGGTGACTCTTGGCCTTCCAACCATCAATCAAGCATTTGCAATACATGATGGCTAGAGAGCCAAGTTTGTACAAGCTTAATGAGTGCACAAACAAGACCAAAATAACCACCACCCTATCATGCATGATCAAGGGTGACGATGACCAAGAAAAGTGGCACGATTCATCACTTTGAGTATGAAACATCCCATTTTTCTTGTGTTCGGATTAACGTCCGATCCGAATACATGCAAAGTAATACAAAGATGCTTAATCTTGCCTCTTTTACTTTGTTCATTTTGTTTACTCATTTTAGATTACCAATCCATTCTTTAATTGATTAGTCCAAAAATAAGTGTCCTCTAATTGAAAGTAGGCTTAAATCACAAGTGCCTTGAGAATGAAAGAGTTCCCATGCCATTGGTTAGTACAAACCCTCAAAAGAGGATTAAAACCATTAAGCATACATGTCTCAATTTCATACTTAAGCCAACAAGGGGTTCAAAGTCACTTTCAAAAATAAATGGAAGAGTGAAGAATGGAGGGAGATTGCAGAGATTTCAATGTTGAAATGGAGTGAAAATGACAGTAAATCATGCAAGCAACTCATGCAGTTCATGTTTAAAAGCCTAAAACATTAAGCTAGTGAAAGAGATTGCACTACAACCACACAATACAAGCCTTAAAGGGCCAAACCAGCTCAAAACAGAGCTAAAACTAGTCAAAACAATGACTAAATCATGCTGAGATTAAGGTACAAAGTGCTAGAAAAACATGCTCACATGTTAGCTTGCAAACAAGACTCAAGAGCAACTCTAAAAAAGCAAAGAAAGAGTGAAACAAATGAGCATGTGACACAGCTATATATGCTGAAATTACATGTAAAAAGACACTACAGCATGCAACCAACTCAAGCAAATCATCTTTAAAGGCCTAAAACACCAAACTAGTGAAGCCATTTGCACTACAACTATGCAAAACAAGACTCATATGACCAAAGCAGCCCAAAATAGAGCTAAATCATTCCAAATCAGAGGCAAACATATGCTGAAAATAAGCCAAGTTAGGCTACAAA